TTGTAAACATGAGGCATGAGGGGTTAACTTCTTTGCTTTTTTCAAGGTTTTTATGCTGTGTTTTATCACATAAACACGCAGCAGTTCAATTTTCAGAGGTCAGTATAAAAGTTATGCCGAAACTCGTTATTTGACATTTACAATTTGGTAAACTATTTTGGTATTCGATGCAACGTTTTCTCAATTTTTCTGTTTCAATACACAGCATTGCAATATTTTTCTTAATATTGATTAAAAACTTTTAAGCGCTGAGAAATTGCGCTGGTAAAAAATTGATTCACAAATCAGTACCGAGAAATTGGCAAGTTAGGCTAAAATTTTAAAATGTTAGCTATTATCACGAAAATAGAGTCAAAAATTTTTTTCGTTGTTTAATGATATAAATTTTTGCATGAAAGAGTTTGCTGGACTTGCGAGAAATTGAGTTGTACGTTTTCAGGTTTCATGGAAAGTTCAATTGGAATCATTTTTTGACCGTTCTGAAAAACGAAAATCGAGCTGAGGCAAAAAATGTGGCAAAAGTTGGAAAATAATTCTTGCTAAAAATGTACCATTTTTGTTTTGCCTTGCTCTGAAATTTTTTTTTGAAATTGTAGGAAATACAAAGATTTGAAGAAAATACTATTTTGAAGACATTTGTGAAAGAAAAAAAAACAATGTCTAATTATGAAAAAAAAATCATTTCTGACAAGCAACACTCTATTGATTTGCGAAACAGTTGCTATTTAAACTTGCTGTACGAATAAATGCTAAGCGTCGCTCGCTTGATTTTTGATATTTTCCAAGTATAAAAATCACCAATATTTCATATTCTTCAGTTGAACAAAAAACAAGCTGCTCTTGGTTATCAAAAAAAGAGGTGCTTCTCCCCTTGAGTTCAAACAATAGTTTAAGCTCAGTCAACGTGTGCAAAAAATTAAATATGCTGCCTGTTAAGCAATCAAAGTAAGTAGCATGGTTTCTTCTGCGTGGTTGCTGCATAGTTCTAAGACATGGTTGCTGCAGTTTTTTCTCAATATTTCACAAAGTTTGCCTTGGTGGCAAAAAATATTGGAGACCTTGTCTGTCCTATTCTGGTTGCAATCTCTTCCTAAAGGTTCGCAAAGCTAGCTTTCAAAGCTGTTATTGTCTCACCGCCTCACCAGTAAGATATATGAAGACCAGCAATTGCATATTTTGCCTCTCTTAAACCTTAAAAGTCGAAAAATTTATTTACACTTGAGATCTAAGATGGTTATTTTTTATTTTTTTTTTCATTTTAAAGATACAAATATAGTCCGTTCATGTGCAAGTAGCCTAGAATGTTTCAAGTACGTTATTATACAAATGCCATCAAACATGCAAAAAAACATGAATCAGAACAAAACAAAAGTTTGAGTTAAAGCTAGTTTTGTCGGCATTGGGTGGAGCTCAATTAGAAAATATTCTGCTCGAATAAGTTATTATATCTAAACCTACGCACAATGCGGGAGAATTGCATCTCAGCTTCACGTTTTTACTCATTCATCGCAATATTTTAGTCTACAAAACGGAAATTTTTCAATTTTTTTCTCGTCACAGACAGTTTTTAAATATTTTGTGTAATCCCAATTACAACTAACATAACTGTTTTATGATACCACACGTGAACTCCTAGGAGTTTGAACTAGAAGTTCTACTCTTCAGAAAAACAATTAAAAATCGTACTGGTATTTGTAAACTAAAATTTTTATACTCTTAAGATGAATGGCGGATCAACCGTACAATCTCTATAAGAGAAAATGGGAATAGTCGCAACTTTAGTGCCACTTTATCTTCTGGGCTCATTTTTCACGCTGCCGATAACAGATTATGTGACTATGGTAAGAGTTCTACCAGTGAACAACTTCCTAGCTATATTTTCATCGAGACTATGCTGATATGAATGAAAAGATACAGTTCTAAAGAAAGAAATACTTAGGCAAATGTAAGAAACTAAAAAAGTTAAACCTTTTTTAAAACACTTAACTTATTGAAACAATGATTTAAAGAAACTTTGGAGCATTTTTTATGAGAACTTTCAAATAATTTTTAGTTATGTATATAGTTTGGTTGGTTAACACATTCTTTATAAAACAAAATTGCTTCAATGTCAAAAATTTTACTTTTCTGTGACGTAACCAGAAAACAATTGCTTCAATAACAAAAATTTTACCATTGTAACGGTTCAAAAGAGGTCAGAATGGTTTAAGAGTGCGATTAATTCCTCTAGTGTACTTTTATGTTTTTGTTTGTTTCGGCCGGGCGTTGTTTCCGACCGGGACCCCGTCTGCGCTTCCGTTCGACCCGATTAGCCCCATATCGAGCCCTGATGTCTTTTATCAGTCCTGCCATCATTCGATCAAGTAGTACACAACACCGATCAAATTATTTTCTCTCCGATTAACTTCCAAAAAGAAACAAATTTATCAGAGCCTGCAGCGAAACCGCGTCATAAACATCACCATATATGGTCACACCAAGACTAACTATACCTCTATGTCTCGAACTACACATCGGCCGTTCATTTTCGAGTAACCAGAAAATAATCGCCCCGCTCAAAACAAAGGCTAACAAATATTCACAACAACACTGAAACTTAACCCCGAGCAAAATCATCTTTGAAAAAAATGCGCTAAAATTAATATTTTTGCTATTATTGTAGCCCTTATATTAGCTCTTGTTTGTTGGCATATTGTACTGTCTGCGCTTTTTGAAATTTTTCTAATTAACTTTTTTATTGTAGTTGAAACGCCACCGTTGATTTAAGTAAGTCCATGTGCAAGTAGCCTAGAATGTTTCAAGTACGTTTTTATACAAATGCCATCAAACATGCAAAAAAAACATGAATCAGAACAAAACAAAAGTTTGAGTTAAAGCTAGTTTTGTCGGCATTGGGTGGAGCTCAATTAGAAAATATTCTGCTCGAATGAGTTATTATATCTAAACCTACGCACAATGCGGGAGAATTGTATCTCAGCTTCACGTTTTTACTCATTCATCGCAATATTTTAGTCGACAAAACGGAAATTTTTAAATTTTTTTCTCGTCACAGACAGTTTTTAAATATTTTGTGTAATCCCAATTACAACTAACATAACTGTTTTATGATACCACACGTGAACTCCTAGGAGTTTGAACTAGAAGTTCTAGTCTTCAGAAAAACAATTAAAAATCGTACTGATATTTGTAAACTAAAATTTTCATACTCTTAAGATGAATGGCGGATCAACCGTACAATCTCCAAGCATGTATAAGTTCTGAAAAATAATTAAATACAAAACATGCACTCCACACATATAAAAAAAATTTTATTCAGTTTGTACTTTGATGGGCTGAAAAAATATCTGAAAATAATTTGATATATCCATCTCTGCAAAGTTATCGTGTTAAAAGTTTGTATTTTCTCTCCCTTAAATTAATTTGAGGTGGGGGATTGTACAAATGTTCTGAAGAACACCAAGTCATATGTAATGCAAGCATACTTAAGTTGCAATCTAGATATTACCGATGCAAATCCGACTTTACTTACTGTTTTCACAATCTACAAACATTTAAGCAGGTTAAATGTAAGTAGATTGTGAAATCAGTTTATTGTGATTTGATTTGCATCGGGAATATCTAGATTGTAACTTAAGTATGCTCCGCTCCGATTACGCATGACTTAGTGTTCGTCGGAACATCCGTACAGTCCCCTGCCCTAAATTGATTTAAGGGAGAGAAAATACCAACCTCACCATTTTGTTTTTCTGACTTTAAACTTTAATTTTAAATTATTTTACAATAGTTGAATGAGATTAAGGCCATGTGAACAATCTCCCGTTCTGAAAATTAGTTTAGTATAAATTGTGCATTTAAAACAAAATGCACAAACAAAATTGGTTTTCATAACTTGGGATTGCTTATGTGGGATTGGTTTTGAATGCTGTTATTGACCTACATTAATCTATTTTAAATCAATCTTCTCTGTTAAAAGTGATAATTTTTTAAAAACTTAGGAAATATTTCTAGAAAAATCCATATATTTTCCACACTCCACCCAAAAACGATATAAGGGGATATTGCAGGGTTAATCCTGAATGACAAATAGTCTTGAAACTTGAAACATTTTCTGCAAAAAAAAAACTGCAAGAATCCAGGTTTTACACAGTCATGAACCTAAAAATTCTCGTTTATTTTTCGCTGGTGAATGATATTAAACATGCCAAACTTCAAAACTTCAATTTCCAAACTTTCTTTTCATAAATAGTGTCATTTCATTTTTTTTCAAAACTTTATTTCAGACCTCAAATTTCTACATTTTGGCATCATCTCATTAAATCAAAGAGTTCTTTTTGGGTTCGAAATCGTTTGGTTGATCTGTGATTAATGAGATATAAGAGAAAATGGGAATAGTCCCATCTTTAGTGCCACTTTATCTTCTGGGCTCATTTTTCACGCTGCCGATAACAGATTATGTGACTATGGTAAGAGTTCTACCCGTGAACAACTTCCTAGCCTATACTTTCATCGAGCCTATGCTGATATGAATGAAAAGATACAGTTCTGAAGAAAGAAATAAAACAAATGTAAGAAACTAAAAAAGTTAAACATTTTTTTAAAACACTTAACTTATTGAAACTTTGATTTAAAGAAACTTTGGAGCACTTTTTATGAAAACTTTCAAATATTTTTAGTTATGTATATATTTGGGTTTGGTTAACACATTCTTTATAAAACAAAATTGCTTCAATGTCAAAAATTTTACTTTTCTATGACGTAACCAGAAAATAATTGCTTCAATAACAAAAATTTTACCATTGTAACGGTTCAAAAGAGGTTAGAATGGTTTAAGATTGCAATTATCTTAGGTTAATTCCTCTAGTGTACTTTTATGTTTTTGTTTGTTTCGGCCGGGCGTTGTTTCCGACCGGGACCCCGTCTGCGCTTCCGTTCCACCCGATTAGCCCCATAACGAGCCCGGGTGTCTTTTATCAGCCCTGCCATCATTCGATCAAGTAGTACACAACACCGATCAAATTATTTTCTCTCCGATTAACTTCCAAAAAGTAACAAATTTATCAGAGCCCTGCAGCGAAACCGCGTCATAAACATCACCATATATGGTCACACCAACACTAACTATATCTCTATGTCTCGAACTACACATCGGCCGTTCATTTTCGAGTAACCAGAAAATAATCGCCCCGCTCAAAACAAAGGCTAGCAAATATTCACAACAACACTGAAATTTAACCCCGAGCAAAATCATCTTTGAAAAAAATGCGCTGAAATTAATATATTTGCTATTATAGCAGCCTTTATATTAGCTCTTGTTTGTTGGCATATTGTACTATCTTCGCTTTTTGAAAATTTTCTAATTAACTTTTTTATTGTAGTTGAAACGCGACCGTTGATTTAAGTAAGTCCACTATTTTAATAGTCGTTTTACCATTTCAAAACCCTTTTGTTTATTAAAAAATTGATAAAAGTCCGTATACTATTGATGATTAATAGATTTGGTCGCTGAATGAAAGCCGTGTCGTCTGCTTCCGTTCAAAGTCTTTATCGTCTACGCAATTAAAGCGTTCAAGATCCCGGTTGAAGATCAAATATCCGACATATTCAGCGTTTTATCTTATCAGAAAAAATGGCATACAAAAATCGAACAATGGTGAATAATAATCGCCGCTAACAAATATATTGTATTTTGGCTAATTTCTAATGAAAGCTTTTATTAAAAATATTAACTAATTTATAACTTATTAGTTATGGATACGGACTTCTTCAGACATTTGATTATTGCCTTAGCTATTATTATCAATGTGATTGAATTTGTTGCTTGCACAATCAAGAAAGAGAAACCTTTTAACCCTTTGCCTTCTTTAACAGGTTAGTAAAAAAATAAAATTGATTCGAGAATAGTTTTCAAGCAAAATATCTTTTATCTCAAATTTATTTAAAGTTTATTTAAGCTTGCCATAACGGTTATCGAATTGGAAAATATATTTTTTTCGTAATAATGAAAAATGTCTTTTCAAGTCAAAATCGAATAAATTGTATTTTAATTTTTTTTTATCCAAATTTAAGTTGGTTTGCACAAAGCTGAGACCTGATCAGGGGAGGATTTAGGGGTGGAGGGCGGGGACGGACACCTTTCTCCCCCCCCCCCCTCCTCAGGGGTCACCACTTTGTACTATTTTGAGATATCCATTTTTCTTGACGGACCCTAAAATTTTTCTAAGGGCGCCTTTGGCGCCAATGTATACTAATTTTGAGTGCGGAGCGCGCGCCAAAAAAAAAAGTTTTTTTTTTTGTCAAATATTTCCAAAAAGTGTTTAAAAACGCCTTTTTTGGCCATTTTTTTCAAAATTATGCCTGCGACGCAGAAAACTAGGCCAAAACAGGGACTTTTTAGTGCTTTGGAAGCTTGAAAAATCATAGAAGTGCAGAAAAGTGGTGAAAATTCACACAGATAGGAAAACAACAAAAACAGCAAATCAGTGGTCGTGAAAAAATTTTGCAAGTGACCTTTATTTTTGAGACATGGGACCACTTTTTGACGTAACTTTTCTCTGGTGAAGCAGCTTTGGCATTGTTTTTCCTCGAAAAAGTGTCAACATCTCTTTTTGAATAACTTTATCTCTCTAAAAATGTTATCCAAAAAATGATTTTTGAAACATGGGACCACTTTTTTACGTAACTTTCCTCTGTTGAAGCAGCTTTGGCATTGTTTTTCCTCGAAAAAGTGTCAAAATCTTTTTTTGAATAACTTTGTGCTTCAAAAAAATATATGCAAAAAACAAAAACAAACTATTGATTGTACGATGAATTTTCATCCCTTGAAAATTGACATCCGAAAAGGGCAGGGTGCAACGCTCTTAGCCACCAGGTCTCGAAAATTGTCGAAAAGTGAATCTAAAGATTCTCAATATTTCAATTCCACTCCCCCACATTTGAGTTTCAGTTTCGAAAAACTAATTTATTGTAATGAAATTTTGCATGGTGAGAAAACTAACCACTTGCACAGATTTGTTTTCTTCATACCTTTCATCGCAACACCACGGTTTAGCCATAATCACACGTAAAACAACTAAGAAATTTGAAAGTTTGAAATGTGGGGGAGGGGGTAGAAAACTTTAAAACTTTAAATATGCGCTCAGATGACCCCCATCGAAGAGTCAAATAACTTTCGAGTTGTCGTAGTTTTGCCTTAATCATGTCTCGTGGCGTCCCGGCTCGAAATTTAAAACCGTATATTTGTGTGTAGCTTTTCAACGTCTCAAGCATTGTCAAATCGAGACAAAATGAATAATCTCCCCCAAAATTAAAGTTTAAAAATAAGTCTCTTTGACATAAAAAATTTCAAAATTATTAATTTTTCTTACATTGTAAAAAATGGCAAAATTTTGAAGTTTATAAAATGTGGAAAATGAAAACAAAATTGAACGTTTCCAAGGTGGTAATTATAATTTTCAATAGCTGTTATAATGAGTTACAATGTAACGAACGTATCTTTTAGTGGTCGTCAAAACCTGAATTATGGCTTATGTGAAATAAGTAAAACGTAAAATTGGTTGAAGTAACTTTCGACGATAGTAAAAATGAATTTCAAAAATTTTCAGTTTCAAAATTGCGATGGCATGCTGGATACTTTTGTAATTTACCATAACAAATTTCTAACACTTATTGAAAAGTTGAAAAAGAAATCGGTTTTAACTGAACTTTATTCAGATTCGTAGTCAGTATGAAATTGATTTACCTCAACTCATTAGCTGGATGGTTTTAGAATGGACTTCAAACCATTTCAACTGAAGATAGATAAAAACAAAATCTTTATCTAAAAAGTCAGTTTGAAACAGATTTTTGCAGAATAATACGGATCTCTTTAATTTTACCACTATTTCTATTGCAGAAGGAGAGAAATAAACGTAGATACTCAAAATTGCACGTGTTTGATCCTTGAGCTAGTTTTTTATGAAGTATTGTTGTAATAAAAATTAGCCTAATTGTTTCGATAGTTCTATTTTTAAAAATTAGAATTGAATGTCAGTTGCGCTCCAGTTGCTCTTAATTTTGCTGAAACTTTTGCTCTAAAAATATGACCGCTGCCATCACAACAAATTGAACAGCCGGACTTTTTTGGAGAAATGAAAAACTCATTGGTCAATTGTTGGATTTACTATACATCCAACAGCAGAAGATTGTTTCTATAAAAGGTGACAAATTACTACGCAACCGCGACTTATCAAGAAACGGACACTTGATATTGAGCGTTCTTCTCCCAAAAACGTGTTTGATTTTTCACGGACTAGATTCATCAGATGGTCAAAAAGCTGACACCATCCGACAGAGAAAAACTAGAGCACGCCAAGGTAGCCCCATCTGTCCACGACATTGAAAAAGGGATTTCAAAAATGTAAGTGGAAAATAGATTGGAATTAACTTCAAAAAAATGTTGTGTGTTTTGAGTTTTCAAAAACAGAAACTGAGGCTAGAATTTCAATTGACTTTAATGTACCAGGACAAAAAATGCTTAAATTTTATAGAAGAAAATGCAAAACAAAAACGAAAACAAACTTGATCAGCTCATCAATTTTGTGACTCAAGTAACCAACATGAATTCTCCTGTAAGCGTCCATCCTTCACAAAAAAAACAATTTGTTGATGATAAAGAGTCGGTTACTGTTGGTTAGCTTAGAGCGGGGTTTAGTTTATAGCCAAGCTCTAACTACATTTGCTATTTTTGATTATTATGGAAAATGAAGTGAAGATTTAACTGCAACAAAATTTCAAAAGAGTTTCATTATTTTTTCTTACCATAAAATGCTTAGGATCCCATCATGAATATCTGAAAAGAATATTAGAACGCTTAGACTTGATATCCTCAGTAATAGTTACTCACGATTTTCAGACTTTTTCTACCCGAATGGACATCAAACAATTTTAACACACAATAGACAAGCAAAAAAGATGAATGTGTTGCAGCATTTGTGATAGAAAGCACACACGTAGATACAAACACTGTCAAAAGTGAAATAGAAATTGAGTTTACTTCATCGGTTGAAAAGTCAAATGAACTTTTTATCTGCATTTTGTACCCAGAACCATCAATACTCTTTGGTAAGTTTCTACAGGTGTAGAAAATCGGTTATTTGATATAAAAAGCGCCGAGTCCAACATCCTGATTAAGTAAGGACACAAACTTAGATCTTCTTTATCATTTAAAATTTGGGTTGAATGTTTTCAATGTCTTGATGCTTTTTGGATTTTCAAATCAAGTTTTTTTTTGGAATTAAAACTATATTTTCATCACGCCTGGATTATGATATATATAAAAACTGTAGATAACAGAAACCTTTCAGTGAAAAATATGTGATCACTATGTATTGAACGTAGAGTTCGAAACTGGGTCATTTGAAAAAAAAATCAAAAAGGAACTTCAAATGTTATAAGTGGGATAACATCCAATGCGAACTCTTAGTACTGTTAAATCAATTAACTGATAAAAATGTGTCTTCTTACTTGTTGATAAACTCACTTGTCGTCGTTTTTGATAATATTTGTCCGCTGGATGAAAAAATTAACCTAAAAAGATCGTGGGTGAATTGTAACGCTTAAAGCCTTTGCAACAAACGAGACAGACTAAATAAAAATTAATTTTTCATCAGAAAATCCATCAGAAAATCATCTATTGCAGTTAGAAATTCAAGTTATATCAGGTAGTGCAAAAAGGTACTACGACAAAAATTACATGCCTATCTACAGTTTCGAATCACTTTTCTTTGCTTTTAATGACTTTTGCGGGAAATTAAGAGAAAAGTACTTCCCTATAGATTTGAAAGAGTTCAACCAAGTTTTTGTTTAGCTTCGGCAAAACTCGCAAACATGCAAGATATTCGGAACAAAAATTATTTTAGAGTTAATCAGAACGACTCCTCTCTTATCTTTATGCCGCATATCAAATTGAAGTACTGAAGTGGTTAAATCTCGTAAAAACAAATTATTGCCTGCAAAAAGGCTATACTCATAAAACAAATGCGGTTTTCTCGACGACCTCGACAAGAAAAGTAAGCAAAATACCCATAGCCATTTAATTTCATTCCATGAAAAGAACCAAAAAAACCTACAAAACTTGTTATCTGATCGTACGCATCACAGAAATATAATAACTTCTGAAACCTGTAGTCAATACAGCAACCAGATTATGAAATCATGTTCAACGAAATTAGTTTATGCGGTTCTTTGCACTGGAGGGCGCCCAAGCTAAAAAGATCCCAATTTATTGATCAGAATTCACAAGTACCAATTAAATGATTTGAACTCTTTTAAATGTTAGTTGGAAACAACCCAAGACAAAAAAAATTGTAGAGGTAGCCTTCACCAAAGAACAAGAAGCCCTGAAAGATGCTATAAGTAATGAAGCTATAAGTAACTAAGTACTCTTATTTATACAGCATTCCGGCGCAAAAACTTATCAAAATTACCATAGAGTTGCTCGTTTATACAAAGAACATTTTGCATACGTCGTTTTTTGGCGCCAAGGTAACTCCTTTGGCAGTTTCTTACAAATTCAAAATTAACTCGGCAATGTCTGATCAAACGATAAAACTTCCGGCATAGTTTTTCCTGACTAAAAAGGAAAAACCTGAAATTAGCATTGGATACAAAGTTGAAACCCAACATCAAATAGCGTAAACTTAAGCAACCAACAGCAGCGAACATAGCAAAAAACACAAACGTTACTTGCCATTTGAGGTAAGCTTTGCTTGATTCATTTTTTGTGCTCTCAAGAAAACCAGCAACACTGTATTGCGTGCTGTCCTGATGTTCTGCAGTTTTCAGCAGATCAAAGAATGAAGCTTGCAGAAGGCAAGCAACTCTCTTTCAAC